TAGTAGCTGAATAATGCTCCATTGTGTAAAAATACCACATCTTTTTCAAGCATTCCTCAGGTGATGGGCATCTTGGTTGTTTCCAAGTTTAAGCCACAATTATTTAAAGCATTCATCAGCTAAGTGATGGCTGAGTTGTGTCCAGTTTGTGCTGTTGTAAAGCAAATTGCTAAGAGCATTTTTTATTATAAATTTTAGCTTCTTTGGTTCATTGAAAGGAACAGTTAATAGTTGTATTAGTTATTCTTCTCTCATTTCTGGGACAAATACCTGACACTCAAAATGAGGGAAGGAAAGGTTTATTTAGCTCATAGTTACTGAAGGTTTCAAGATACTAGAGGAGAGGCTGGGTTGCTGCGGCTTCCACGATGACCCTTTCCACATCTCTGAGAAAGAACAGGCTAGCCAGTTTAACGGTGGGCACCTCCGACCTCACGCCTTGAGGCCTTCCCTGGTCCTCTAGTCCTGCCCCTTAAGCCACTCATTGTTCCTCCAGCTGCATCTATTCCATAACTTACATGAGGCTTTGAGGTGACAACTAGACACAAGCCATAACATTCCACCCCTGGGTCCCCAAAGTCTCTTGCACATCCCCTTGTCCAAAAAGCATTTTATTCCATCTCTATGAAAGTTGCTTAAGTGTCAACAGTTTCAGCATTGCTGAAAAGTCTAAGTCCCAAGTCCCCTCTGAGACTGAAGGCACACTCTTAATTATTAGCCCTTGTACAAACAAAAAGTTAAATATATTCAACATTCAAAGGCACAAGATAAACATTGCCATTCCAAAAGATATACACAGGAGTACACAAACCATTGGGGCCAAAACAAGTCCAAAATCTGGCAGGGCAAACATTGAGTCTTATAGTTTCATATGGAACATCCAAAGCAATCTGTGGCAAATTGTGAGCTTCATGTAGTTCCACCCCTATGGCACTGTTGTTGTAGCTCCCATGGCTTCTTTCTTAGGCTGGGTTTGCTCCCTCTTTGCAGTGTCCCTTAGATGATCCATGTTCTTGGCTTTTCCAAAACTCTGGGGTTTCCACTGAATAGACTTCTCACTGACAACTTCACACACTGCCCTCTCAGGGGCACACTGCCTGGCCTCCCAGGCCTTCTTCTGAAATCTAGGTGGAAACCTTCTTAACCTCAGAACTCCTGCATTCTGCATGCACCTAAAACCAATGCCATGTGGATAATGCCAAAGTCTGCTGCCAGCTGGAGCAGGAGCCAGGTTTTCCTCTCTTGGATGCAGGGGTTGAGTGCCTGGATTGCTGAACACTCTGACCCTGATTCTGAGGAACAAATTCTCTATGCCGGTGTCGTTCTGTAATCTGGTGTGACTGCCACCTCCATTTTGGAACATGGGGTTCTGTGGCTTTCTCCCCAAATCAAAGTCCCTCACCCTTGTGATTCAGTGGCTGCAAAGCGTGAGAACCTGGCACCTCCTGTGATGCTCTCAGGATATCTTCTCTATTCTCCTTTTCCTCCTGGGCAATGGAGATCTCAACTATTTTTGCAGTACACAGCCTTCCTGGCACTTTTTTGTTTTTGGCCAAACTCACAAGATTTTAAATCCTTCTGCTAGGCTTTTTGCTCTTCATTCTCAACATATATTTTATTAAGGACCCTGCCACTACCCTAAGACTTGACTGCTTTGAGATTTCCTTTGAAAGATTAATCAGTTCTCCATGTTTAATTTCCATCTCAGGCAAAGTCTCTGGACACAGGAAAATTCAGGCAAACTTTCTGCCAAGCCAAAACACAAATGATCTGCAGTCCAACAACCAAGGCAGTCATTCTTCCCAACAGAAAGCTCCCCAGCCTGGTTTTTACAGGTCAGATTTCTATCAGTCTTCCAGTCTGAGCTATGACCAGAATCTCCCCTACAGAACAGCCTAAGCTCTTCTTGTAGGCAACATCTCCAAACATTTCTTATCTCTTCCCATCAGCCATTCCCAAAAACTGATAATCCACATGGTCAGGTTTAGCCACAGTGACAACCCCACTCCTCTGGTACCAAATTTAGTATTAGTTACTCCTCTGGGACAAATACCAAGCACTCAAAATGAGCAAAGGAAAGGTTTATTTAGCTCACAGTTACTGGAGGCAAGGCTGGGGCGCTGTAGTGTCCAGGATGACCCTCTCCACATCTCTGAGAAAGCACAGGCTAGCCAGTTTAATGGTTTGCACCTCTCTGGCCCTCTGGCCCCACCCTTCAAGCCACTCCTTGCTCCTCCAGCAGTGTCTGCCCCATAACTTACATGAGGCTTTAGGGGGGACAACTCGATACAAACCATGTATAGTATGTAGCACTCAATAACTTTTTGTCCCACAGGTCGCTGAAGAAGTACTCATTTTTTCAGTCCTTAGTTTTATCAGTACATGTCTGCAGTACACAGGGATCACATTCCTCATGGGGACTTCAGACACGTGCTTTCCACACCTCAATCTGTCTTTCCCTTCTCCACCTGCACCCATTTTTAGTCCCCTGTTCATTATACTGATTTGTGGTTTTTCTTATTCTGTCTTCACTGAAACTGCTGGGTAGCCCACCCACTTAAGGTGGGGTTTTTTGTTGTTATTTTTGCTTGTACTGGAACTGGAACTCAGGACCTTTGTTTCTGAAATGGGTCTCAGTATGTTAGTGAAACTAGTGTCTAGCTCCAGGGTTCAACTGATCTTCCTGGCTCCGTCTTCTGAGCAGCAAGGGCTAAGGCTGCATTCCACTGTGCCTGCCTCTGCTGCTGTATTCTTCAGTCAAGAATACTTTTTAGTAGTTTTTCTATGTACTATTTCTATGCAGAAGTTCTAGTTTTTATTTGTTTCAAATGTGTGTAATTATTCATTGGATGCATTGTTATGAAAGCTGCCTTAAACTTTGTCAGATAACTTAACATCTGTCATATCAGAGTTAGCACCTGTAGTCTCCTTCATTTATGCCTCTAGTTTTTTGATATGATGATTGATTTTTTATTTTATTTTATTTGTTGTGGAAACAGACATTTTCAGCTTTTGTTATTAGATCATAGATCTTAAACTTTCAAATGTAGCTCGCTTTTTCAGATAGCAATTGTGCATGGAAAAGATAGCACCAGTGTTACAGCCCAGACAACTCACCCTACAAACTTCTGTCCACACACAGTCGAGGTGAACTCCTTGTCATTGCCGAATGGGTATATGAGTTACCTTTCCTTACCTGGTCTAGATGTGTAGAGCACTTCATCAGTGATCCACATTCGATCTGTGCTGACTCCCTGGAGTGGGCTGCCACCCTACTGCCAGAAAGCAGTGGAAATGCTTGATCTCCTCTAGGCCTCCTCCCAAACCACACCCATGAGAAAGTGAGGGCATAGCTCATTATTGCCAAGCAACAGGAAGTGCACACTTCTGCCAGATCCACTGGCTCCTCAGGAAAGAAATTGGCTCATTACTATGGGTGGGGGTGACATTCCAACACACCACCCTTGGGAGAGTGGTGAGGCACCCTGCCTTGAGAGGACTGAAGTCTAGGAGGAAGTCACCCAAAGTTTCCAATTGTCTCTTCTGCTATGGGTAGATAGGGTCACAGTATTCTCTCTCTCTCTCTCTCTCTCTCTCTCTCTCTCTCTCTCTCTCTC